GTAATTTTCAGTACGGGATGTTTCAATAATTTGTCTTAGGGCACAATGCCATGCGTCACTAGTTTAAATTTTTTTTCAACGCTATAAGCTTGGAAGTGCAGAAATTCGTCATTTTAAGAAGGCTCGAGAACTGAAGAAAATATTTTTCTTAAACTTTCAGCTTGTTTACGGATCTTTATATTAGCCAAATTGACAAATTTGATAATGACTTATTAACCAATTTGATAATTTACTTTTGGAGAGGGAGGCAAGGCAAAATAATAAATTTTAATAATCGGTTATTTCAACCCAAATTTTGCATTGCAATCGTATTATGTTTTGTTAATTATATTTCTTGAAATAAAAAATGTTGTTAAAAAAAAGTTGATTATATTGTATAGAATTTTTTTCTCACTATCCAAATTTTGCCGCCCCCAAAAATTTGCCGCCCTGGGCAGTAGCCCCGATTGCCCCTACTGTAAATCCAGCACTGTATATATATATATATATATATATATATATATATATATATATATATATATATATATATTACAAATGTATTCTGAGTGGATAATAGATATTAATTTGGAAATATGAACAAACAACACTCTTTTTGCACTAATTTATTAAATAATAATTTTCACAAACGTTTCGAGACTAGGTTTGTCTCATCATCAGTGTGTTAAAATTAAAAAAAAAATTTTAAAATATGGAAATCTAATTAGCATGTTGTGTTTTTTCATTACAAGTCGTTCACTGCACGTTGCTCTTTTAATACCACTGTCTTCGGTATTCGTATTCTCTCCTACTTGAAAACCACTTGAAATTGTAAAGTCACTCAATCAGATAGGAAAAAAAGGATTAGGGTCCAGTTGAAAAATAGATGTCGTTAGGAGAAAAATATTCTATGATGAGATGGTTTGTTTATAAGATTTGTTATACATTGTTATAATTAAAAGTGTATGTACATCTATATATAAGCTACAAAGTATGAATGAGATTCAGGTAGTATCATGTAATATATTGGTATCTGTCCGTAAATTTACTGTGTTACTTGTATGGGCTATTAACATCGATTCTGCAATACTTCTTTTAAATAAATCTTGTTCATAATATAAAATGTGCGGATTATTGAAATCGAAACTATGGCTGTTAGAGATAGCGTGGTCTACAATATATATATATATATATATATATATATATATATATATATATATATATATATAATATATTTTGTAGAGTTTCGAACAAGAATCCAAAAGTAATAAAAAAACAAGAAAAGTTTTTAATAAACAATTTCTTTATTTATTTATTTACTTACTGTCGACGTTTCGGAACTAGGTACGTTCCATCTTCAGGACATTCAAGAAACACGATCTTGATGAGATTTAAGTAAACAATATGTTTAGGAAAAGAAAATAGATTTTTCTTAAATAATAAATTAATTGCAAAAAATAATAATGTACCGAAATATGATAATATGATCAAAATGAAAATGATAAAAATAAATGAGTGGATTATCAGAACAGATATTAAAATGATAGAAATTTTTTGAAAGTTATGGAAATTTTAAGAAAAGGTTAATGACAAAATTGAATTAATTACCTGTATGTTTGAATATACGTTAGCACTTTTTCACTAAACAAGATTTTTAAACAAAAATGAATTGGTGAGTTATTTTTTCCGCCGAATAGTTAAATTTTGTAAATCAAAATTACTAAAAGTTTTGTCTTTTTTTTAAATTATTATTTGAAAACACAAATAATATTGTTCTCTCGATGTTGTGCGGTCGGCTTTTGGAAACAAACTAACTGAATCTGATGATTCATGTGTAACACGTGTAAACACTTGAACGTGAACTGTGAGATTGTATGTGCGTTTTTTTTATGTCAGGGTGTGGAATACTTAAATTATTGATCTTAAAAGGAAGTCGATATTAATTGTTTGTCAAAAAGTGTAAAAAATTTAAATATGAATCATGTTATAGGTTGTGATCTGATCTAATGTTGACACTGTTAGAAACATTCATAAGAATAAGACAACTCTCCGCGAATAATCTCCTAAAGATGCAACTTTCATGATATAAAAATCTTTGGAGTGAAATTAACGAATGGCCGTTTTTCAATAGAGTGTGTACTAGGGTACTTTGAAATTTTTTTGTTTATGGTGGACCACACTTAGTTCATGTTGTCTCATTCTTTTGTGTACATATTGCGAGGTTTGTCCAATATATTGGAAAGCACAGTCATTACAAAAGTTTACACGTGTTACAACATGAATCATCAGATTCAGTTAGTTTGTTTTCAAAAGCCGACCGCATAACATCGGAGAACAATATTATTTGTGTTTTCAATAATAATTTAAAAAAAAACGACAAAATTTTTAGTATTTTTTTTTTACAAAATTTAACTATTCGGCGGAAAAATAACTCACAAATTCATTTTTGTTTAAAAATCTTGTTTAGTGAAAAAGT